CGTGTGTACTTAATCTTAAATTATTTATTCCAACTCAGTTATTATCACGTTAGATAATATTGAAAAATATTGTAGCAATTCTGCAGTTTCTCCTCTTATTTCTGATTTCTGATTTCTCTCAATTCTCTGTTTTTCCATCGATTAGAAAAGTGATTCTTCTTCTGTTGTGTGAAAAAATATTACTTCAATATTATAGACATCATCACTATAATATTATAGGATTGATTCCCATTATATTATGGGAATGGTTCCTATAAAATTATAGAAACTATTCCTATATATTATGGGAATCATTCCTACATATTATGGGAATCATTCCTATATATTATGGGAATCATGTCGATAATACAGCTAGCACTATAGGTATCGTTCTTATAATTATAGGAACTATTCCCATAATTATAGTAACATTTCCCAAAAATTATGGGTAGAATTTCCATAATTTAAGTAATCGCTCCTAAAATGGTATAGGAAAACATTTCATTAAAATTATAGGAATGATTTCCATATTTTTCTCTCCGTGTAGTATTGAAAATTATTTAAACAATTGTGGAAAAGAATGTGGAAAAGAATTCAAATTTGTTAAGCAAAAATATTTTTGACCTTTTTTTAAGGTTTAAAAATAGTAAAAATATGAAAAATGACTGCACTGACCATCTTTGTCAACCGTTTGTCTAATTTTCTTGATAATTTTACTGAAAGAAATTAGTTGTGTACTGAAGACTTGAAGACAACAGTAAAATGTCAAATAACCTGTAACGGTATTTTATTTTTATTTTTTAGCAGTAATTAACGATATAAACGAACTTTTATTTAATTTGTTATGGTAAGTATTATTATTAAAGTAATTAAATGGTTAATGATACATATTAAAAGTGAACTTAATTAGTATACAGAAATGATAGCAATTAATTCACTATAATATACATCAGTAAAAAATTTTAGGTCATTCGTTAAATATTTTTGTGAATTTTTTTGACACTTCTTCATAAAAAAAAATTTAACATTAACATTTTTAATTTTAACATTAATCACATTGCAATGATATTATTCTTGTTGGTTTTGTCCTTCATCACCAACGGCAGCATCAGCAACAGCAGCAGCAGCAGCAGCAGCTACTTTATTTTTCCGGCGTAAATCAGTCAAATGATTGTTGATTGCCATACCAAATAAAGTTTTTTTGTAATCTGCCGGAAATTGATTTTTGATCGTTTCTAAAATAATACACATAATATTTATAATATATTTATATAAATTATAAAATTTATTAACTTGAAAAAATAAAAAAAAGTTTGGAAAATCCAAAAGTGCACGACTCATAATGCTCATTTAATTATGACATATTAATAAAATAATAATATAAATTAAAAATAATATTAATGAAATAAATAAAGGATGTGAAAAAAAAATATGTAAAACAGCTAAAATAGCACGATAATGCCCAAGCGCCTCTAGTGGGATAAATGTACACAATGTATATAGATATACAGTCTTCTGGTTTTTGTTTTATTTTATTAATTGAACATAAACGACACTGAATTACTAAATCATTTGCATTTAATGACCTACAATTCTCTCAAAGAATTTAAAAAGAAAAATTTAACTCAAGTAATGCATTTTTTGGCAAGTGACAGTGTTTTCAGAGTTCCATGCATGACAGACAGGAACATTTTTTGACCTATTTAAATGTTTTTTCCGTTTCTATTGCACTAAATCAATTTTTGAAAAGTGTCAAATTTATCTCCATTAAATTATCTTGACAATAGTATGCAAAATATCTTGATTCGTGAACTAACAAGACTATAATCATAAAAATAGTTACCGAAATAGGGTGAAAAAAAATTTTTCGATCGTGAAGCACTCTGATGCTTCGCATCATGAGTCGTGTAAAAAAAAAAAAACAGAGAACAGTAGAGAATGAAATGGAGATCATAATAATGTTACACTTTAACGCTTATGCTATTTACTTGAGTCATTACTGAATTAGTTATGAATTATCAATATTTAAAAAACTAAAGAGTTCATTATGGAGTGTGAATATTTTAATACGAACATGTTTAACAAAAAAGAAGAAAACACATTCTCTAGATAAATGCTTCAGTAAATGCATTATAAGCTTTCAAATTAGAATCATACTTACAATCATCAAATTCACTTATCTCTACACGAAATAAAAATAATATGGATATTTTTATTATTTGTGCTTGGGAAAAATTCCTATGATGACATGGCAAGTTTTACTTTGTAGATATCAGAAAAATTTCAATAAAGCATAGTAAAATTTTCTATGTAAAAATGCCCATGTAATTATGAAAGTTTTCCTATTTTATCATAGGAAAATTTTCTTTGTCAACATAGTTAAAATTCTTATAATACCTTGGATATTTTTACTATGTTGTGATAGAAATTTTTCTCATATTAAGATGGACATTTGAAACGTCAAAGAATGATTCAAATTTAAACTTTCAAAGCAAGTGCTGCGAAAATTTTTACGTATAATAAAGAAATAATAAGTCACCCGTAATCGCAGAAATAATGATTGCATCCAACCCTGGTCTTCGTTGGGAATTTTTATCAATCCTGCTAATTCCTCCTCTCAAGTTACTCGCTAAAAAAACTTCGTTTTCGAATAATGAGCTTACTAACGAAACTGCCATATTTTGAAAAGAACTTCTTGAGTTGGCAGTTTCCCATTGTGCACGCGAAACAAATACTCCAGAGCCTTCATGACCGATTTCAACCTACAAATTAACCATCAATTTGAATGAAATTAAAAAAAATTAGGAATACGGTAAACCCTGAAGGCCATCCCTGCAACTTCCCACCAATTCTATACCTAAACGCTTGAAATTGCACTTATGACGTTTTAGAGCTCTTTGAGCTCATAAATACAATTTGTGTATTATTTTGAGCTCTCCAAGCTCAAAATAATTAGGAAAATGGTTGACCCCAAAGGCCATTCCTGAAACTGTCTTCTAATGTTGTTAATACCTGGCCCTTCGAGCTCAAAAGTACAGTTTGGATATTGTCTTGAGCTCTTCGAGCTCAAAAAGATATCTTTTCTATGTTTTTTAGCTTTTTGAGCTCAAAATTCTGATAAAAGTTTCATAGAGCACAATTTTTTGAATTTTTAACCGGCAATAGCTTTTGAATGAATGAACCGATTATTACGCAGTTGTCGGCATTCTACGCAGTTTTTTAAGCCGCATAAAGAATTCTTAAGTTTCAATTAGTTAAACTCGAAATTTCGGAGTAATTCCGAAAAAACACTTTTTTCGGTTTTTTTCAGTTTTTCTTCGTTCACGATATCTCTTGAACGAATCAACCGATTTTGATCGGATTGGTGGCGATCGACGTTGTTTTTCAAGGTTGAGAGCTGATTAGTTTTTGGAATCGATCGATAAAGCCGTTTAAAAGTTATTCCAAAAAAACAACTTCTAAAAAAAAATTTTTTCCTATTTTTTCCTGTTTTTTTGGAGATTTCTCTAAATTTCTCAAAATCTATCGGTCCGAATCGGTTCAAATTTTCAGGGAATCTAAGTTCAGGGGAGCCCTTTCGAATGGCACCAACCGTGATGAAATCGGTTCAACCGTTCAAAAGTTATAAGAGGTTTACATACTT